GAATTTCCCGCGAAAACCTACCCGTACCACTCAAATTAGAAAACATTATTATAAGCTAACCGCTGTGAATCGGGCTAAAGTAAGGCGATAGTTTTGAACACTGGCTGGTTATGAACTTGCTCAAATATTGATTTCGGATCATTTTTAACCAAAAAAAGTTATGGATTGCAGCTTTAAGCAAATGGTGAAAATTCAGCTCTGCTGTCACAGGAATAAATTAAATTCTAATATATAAAACTGTTATTTTAAATTCTAATAATATTTCGCAGTATAAATGTTTTGCTGTATTTTTGATCAAATAGCCTTTGTGAACACGAGAAATTTTTTTTTGAATGGTTGTGTGTGTGTACTTGTTTATGCTACATTGTGAGGACCAAATGTCCCCACAAGGATAGTAAAACCTGAAATTTTTGACATTGTGGAGACTGGCCTGCAGTCCCCACAAGGGAAAAAATGATTAAAAATAGTAAATGATGTTTATCTGAAAGTGTAACAATGCAAACAGGTTTTCTGTAAGGGGTAGGTTTAGGGTACAGTAATTCAAGACATTGGGTGAAGGGTTCTGGAGCACAAACTCGTTGGGTTGAAAAGGAGAAGGGTGGTATGATTTCTGAAGACAAAGGAAACAGTGCTCTCTCTTTCTCATAAAAGGAATTAAATTGTATTTTGTTTTCTAGGTGCAGTTTGGCCGCAGGTGGACAAAGATTGCCAAACTAATCGGCACTAGGACAGTTCTACAGGTGAAGAGCTATGCTAGGCAGTACTTCAAAAATAAGGTATGACTTTAGCCCATTTCCACATTACTATATGAAAATCAAGTATGAAAGTATGAGTATGTCTATATGAAAGTTGGGAAGTAATGTTACTGTACTTAAGTAGATTTTTCTGGTATCAATACTTTACTTCACTGTTTATTTTTCTGACAACTTTTTACTGTTACTCATTACATTTTTTACACAAATATCTGTACTTTTTTTTTATTTTATTTTTTTACATTTTTAAACCAGGCTCGTTACTTTAGTTTTAATCTGTTTGGTGGCATGATCGATATTGGTGGCCTTTTTCAACCAATCAGTCTATATTTTGTCATTGTGCGGCTTTTTCAACCTATCATTGGCGTTTTCCTGGCTATCACGCACCCTAAACATAGGCTAGATTATGAAGCTAACAACGAGCAAGGCAGAAGGCAACAAGAATGGCTAACGTGGACGATGAGACAGAGGGAGTCAGTGATGGAAACATGACTGAGAACAGAGACATTCCTGATCACCCTTGGCCATATATGAGGGAGATGTTGTAGAAGATTTTTATTAATCCAAATAGGAATTAATCAAGTATAATCAAGGCGAATCTAGCCATTAATATATCCAGTTATACTTCCATTATAATCCCATATGCCTGTGTGTAAAAACAGGCCTACGTGACTAAAGTAGACAGGCCATAAGATTAGAAACATCTGGGAAACATAAGTGGGGGCCTTCTTTCTTTACCATAACAAGAACCCCTTCTCTAGGGAAATATCGAACTGTATGCACAAAGGAACCATTCTATGTATGGAAAACGCCTTAAAGTCAGAACTGTATAAAAAGAAGACAAGATGATCATTCTGGAGATGTTTTGCTGCAGAGAGCATCTCCGTTTTATTCTCATTGATGATGTAATAAAATGTATCTTCGGGCATCAAAACTCAAGACTGAGTGTGGTTCCTCAGACGAGCGGCAGACGACACCACAAATTTGAAACTGTCGGCATCGAGAAGGATTCCTGGCGAATGTGCTGTGAATTGTCAACCTAAAAAACACGGAGTGCTGGCTTTCAAGAATTCGCCGTCGCATTTGAGAAAGCACATACAGGTAAATTACATGTTTTATTGTTATCTCTTTCTTGTCATGAGCCAATTCAATGCTTTCAGTAATAATAGTCTATTTTCTATGTTACATTTTGCTATTACATTAACTATAGTGCAGCACATGTGTTTGCTAACTTTACTTAGTTAATTAGTGAACGTTAGTTAACTTACTAACTAGATATATTTGCAAGCTTAGCTAGCTCTCATTTCCATTGGAAAATAAATGTAATTTAAATAAACTTAATTTACCATCAGAAGACCATAATCTGTATCACCTCTGGGTGCGTAATGTTTATTTTTAAGGAACTGTAACGTAATTCTGGTAGTTGATTTACTTTTCTATGTCATGTGTGTCTGTCTGTTTCTTGAAGGTAGTCGTCACTTCTAGAGAAAACATGCCACTCACATGGAGAGATACATACCCAGCTCACTTCAGCTGCTCTGAAAAGATCATCAGAAGTCTCGTTGATCCAGAGCTAATCGCTGCTGCAATTCTACTCCCCAAATTCAAGACGTGCTGGACAAGTGACGGATGTGTCCTAAAACTTGGTAAGTTTTGAACAGTTTGCTTTATGCTTTACTACTGAAGATAACAGAGGACATTTTGGCATTTTTAAATAATTTTGGTAGCATATTGACCAATTGTTTTGGGCAATTCACAAAAAATCATTTTATATAACCATCTTGGCATTAAAAAAATCATTATTTGGTTTTGTATTCCATAGGTCTAGACCAGTGGTTCCCAACCCTGGTCCTGGAGGCACCCCAGCACTGCACATTTTGCATGTCTCCTTTCTCTGACACACCAATTTCAGGCCATGGAGTCTCTACTAATGAGCTGATGACCTGAATCAGGTGTGTTTGATTAAGGAGACATGCAAAACATGCAGTGTTGGGGTGCCTCCAGGACCAGGGTTGGGAACCACTGGTCTAGACTACATCAAAAGCCACCTGAAACAGCAAATGGAAGTGTATAAAGGTAATGCCTCACATTCCTCAGAAGATGAAGACGTTTTTTTCCAGCGATGAAAAAGTCCCAATGGAGGGACTCAAAGGGTTACTCCACCCCAAAATAAAAATTTTGTCATTAATCACTTATCCCCATGTCGTTCCAAAACCGTAAAAGCTTCGTTCGTCTTCGGAACACAATTTAAGATATTTTGGATGAAAACCAGGAGGCTTGTGACTGTCCCATTGACTGCCAAGTAAATAACACTGTCAAGGTCCAGAAAAATATGAAAGACATCGTCAAAATAGTCCATCTGCCATCAGTGGTTCAATCTGAATTTTATAAAGCGACGAGAATACTTTTTGTATGCAAAAAAAAATCAAAAAAATAACGACTTTATTCAACAATTCGTCACCGTAAGGGCCATTTTGGCGAGTATCCGCTGGACGTAAACTGCGTATGCTGTTCTACTTGTATGTGTCAGCCGCACCACACGGATACGCTGTTTTCGTTCAAATCAAAGCGTAAATAAATGTAGAAAACGTATCCGTTTTTGTCATTAATCACTTACCCCCATGTCGTTCTACATTTATTTACACTTTGATTTGAACGAAAACAGCGTATCCGTGTGTAGGTCATCAGTAAATGAGTGTGGCATTAAAATGGCAGTAAATCCCAAATAAAACAAAAAAGCTGTTAGTTTCGAATGTTGTGTGTAATGTAGAGAACTGTGTTTAGTTTTGCAAAAAGTTTGTTTGACAATATCAACCTGAGTTTAAAGTATGTAATGTGCTTGTAGTTTTGCAGACATGGTCTAAAGATTAGGTATACGAGTGAATGGTTTCACTGAGTGGGCCTCAAGTATCACTTTTAGTGTCTAAGCAATTTAAAAAAACTGTAATGTATGATGTGAGGTCGAGTTACCAGAGTGACACTAAAACAGGTAATGGCTACTTTTTACTTATAAGTACATGTCAGAGCCCATACATTCTTTACTTTAACTTGAGTAAAGAAAAAAAGTGTAGTCAGTACTTCTACTTTTACCAGTCATTTTAAACATGAGTATATCTGTACTTCTACTTGAGTAAAGGATGTGTGTACTTCTGCCATCTCTGATGAAAATCCACACGCTTTTGGTTCAGATGTGTGCAGTGCTTTAAAATTAATTCATATATAAGGGAATAATGATAAATATAGACATTCAAGGGGGTATTTTTAAAATCTAAATTTAAAAAATATTTCTTGGATTATGTTCATTTATTTTATTTTTTATAAATAGTATATTTTCTTTAGTCCTTAAAAAATATATTGCCACCTTTTCATTTGTTCATAATTTTTTGGGGTCATACCACTGAAAAGTTGACAACCTGAACTAATTTGACATATGATATTTATATGATATTTTTGATTGTAATGATAATATATATTTTAAGAGACTTATTGTGGGTCTACCATTATGGCCTTTCTGTCACATGACAATAAAATGACTTCCTGCATGTTGGTTATACCATTATGACTTGACTGCATTTGACAAAACTATCACTTCTTGTTTTAGTGATAAATAATAGATTACATAGTAATAGAAAAACGCTCAAACGCTGACAGAGCACCAGTAATTAACGATCAATAAGAAATAAACAGGCTATGTAAGACAAGCTTCATTTGTCAAACTCTTTTTATTTGCTCATTCCATACACATCAGATGCATACAGAGGCCATGCACGAGCTCAAACTCTTTGTCTGTCACCTTTGTTAACTGGGATCGTTCACATGTAACGATTCGGTCATCATTTACTCAAACTTTCGTCGATCCAAACCTTTGCAGAACACAAAAGAAGTCCCTACAATTTGTCAATGGAATTAAATAAGCTGAAAATATTAAGTGTTCGAGTGTCTCAATTGCTGGCAGCTGGCTAACAGTAAACAAGAAAAAAAGAGAGAAAGTAAAAACACTTTTTAAAGAACTGAAACGGCAGTATGGCAGTCAGTGTCCGTCGACATGAGGTCGTGCCATCATAAATAGCCGTCCTGTCATGTCGGGGTCATGCGTCATGTCATCTAAACCTCTGTAAGAACAAACACAGCATAGTCACAGTTATGCAAGTCCACAATCTTGAGAAACTGCTCAAAATTCTTTTGAATGATGGGTCCATTTAGGTCTTAACCTCATAACCTAAAGTTGGCATTAAAAGAAATTTGCGACCAACTTTACTACAGTATTCTATCATATTTCAGAATAATGTTGCAGCCACATTAGCCAAACTTTGCCAAAATGTATAGTTTAAACCAGGGGTGTCAAACTCAATTCCTGAAGGGCCACAGCCCTGCAGAGTTTAGCTTCAACCCTAGTTAAACACACCTGATCCAGCTAATCAGGTCCTTCAGGCTTATTTGAAAACGACATGGTTTGTGTGTTGGAGCAGGGTTGAACTAAACTCTGCAGAGCTGTGGCCCTCCAGGAACTGAGTTTGACACCTTTGATTTAAACAATGGTTCTATTGTCCGCTGTCAGTAATGGCATGAAGCAGCACTTAATGACACATGAAGTGTTCAACATTCCACACAACATTTTTTCGGTTATTTAAGTGCATCATCCGGGTATTTAAAGCACACTTTTTCTTTCTGGAATATTCAGTGTGAACACACTACTCGCATTGTTTATGCTACAAAACATCATAGAATAGTGCCTAATTACACGATTTGAGATGCACCTATGGAAGAAGCCTATTGATATTGACCATAATTGTTTTAATTGTGAATTTTTACACAATTATTTTGTACATAATTGTTGTGTTTTTGATGAAGACTAACTTTACTACAAAACTTAAACACTATTTATTTAGCCAGTTTACGGGATGACGGCTATAAAGAAACATCCCATAATTCTCTGTGGCAGCACATGAATATGATCAAATACACAACGCTCAGTTACACTCCTAATGCGCATCCTGTACTCTTCATTTTGTTGCATTAGAGCAGTGGTTCCCAACCCTGGTTCTGGAGGCACCCCAACACTGCACATTTTGCATGTCTCCTTTCTCTGACACACCAATTTCAGGCCATGGAGTCTCTACTAATGATCTGATGCCCTGAATCAGGTGTGTTTGATTAAGGAGGCATGCAAAACATGCAGTGTTGGGGTGCCTCCAGGACCAGTGTTGGGAACCACTGCGATTAGAGCAACTGAGGAAAAGTGACTAAACAGTTTCTGAAGGCTGAAAATCAGCTTTGCCATCACAAGAATAAATTACATTTTAAAACTAAGGCTGTCAGTCGATACAAATTTTTTTTTTTTTTTTTTTGATGTGTCGATTAACTAATCTAATTAATCGCAAATTACATTTGGCTGTGAAAATATCCCCAAAATGTTATTTAAAACTATTTTTGTGTTTAAAAATAAATAATTTATTTGATTCAACATAAAATTGATTACACAAACGTTTAGGCTACAACGGCCCAACATAAACTATGGAACATAAAAGAAGATAATTTGAGAAACATTTCCATTGCAACGTTCATTCAATGAAAGTCATTGGTAACCAAAACAGCTTTGTTACCAACAGTCTTCAAAACACCTTCTTTTATGTTCCACAAAATTCAGGTTTGAGTAAATGATGACGTAATTTAAAATTTTGGGGGAGAACTATCCCTTATAAAGTTTTTCCCCCTTTTTTTAAATGAAATAATACTCTAAATAAGAAACTAAAACTGCCAGCAGGTGGCGGTAAATGTCTATGAGTCATTCATTCATTAGAACGGCTGATTCATTCATAATTCAATAAACGACTCTCGAATCTTTGATTCACTCGATTCGTTCAAAACACGGATTTATTCAAAAACTAAACAATATTGTGTTTAAAATATAACAATATTAACTTCTTATTTACTGAACTGTTATAAAATCACATTTGCGCTCGTTATATTCAGGACAGAAACAGCACTTGTGTGATACTGCTCTCGCTGCTCGTGTGATATCGCTTATCATGTGAGACAAAAACTAATACAGGAGCATATTTGCCCCAATATCTAGAATTTTAGGGCATAACTGCATTTATGGAGTTGTTGTCCTGCATCATATTTGTCAACAGTCAACTGTATGAAATGTAAGATGACGTACAGGTCTGGGGGCGGGGCCAGTGCGTTAAAATATTTTAATCGCGTTATTTTTTCACAACTAATTAAGTTACCACATTAAACTGACAGCCCTATTTAAAACATGAAAATAGAACACAGTTACTTTAAATTGTTAAGCTAATATAATATTGTTTTTAGAGTATTATTGATCAAATAAGTGTAGCCTTGCTGAGCACAGGAGACTTCTTTCGTAAACGTTTGAAAAAATCTGTCAGGCTGCTGAAAGAACAAGTTTATTTCCATTTTCTGCCACTAGTGCCAGTGAAATTACACGCTGCACTTCTTAACAAAAATCATAAAAATGATTACAAATGCCACAGAATAATTTTATGACCTCAAATCAATGGTAGAAGACAGATATGATGTTAAAAGCATTGCATGCATTGTTTGAATAATTGGTTCTGTTTGACTGGCGTGACATTATGTTGTCTGACTGGTATAGAAAGACAAACAAATCCTTTCATGTAAGTAGTCCAAAAGAGACATTTCTAAGAAGGATTGTGTCTCAGGCAGTATATGAGCGGCCAGTTCAGCTGTCAATGCTACATCACGTCTCAAGTCATCGACTTATTCTGGAGCAAGTTCACACTCGACAACAAATTATCTAGATTCTGTCATGACTTTCACATTGTTTTTGGATTTTCTTTATTCTTGTACTCATAGCAGAAATAACAGAATGTTGTGGTGGATTCAAAAATATGTGAATAGTTTGTTTTACCTACTGAGCTTACTTACCCGAGTCTGTCGTAAGGTCAAAGGTCAGTAAGTTCTCTGGCGTTTGTGTGATTCCTCTTTCGGTGGGTCTGCCAGCATGACCTTCATCTTGATGCCGTTAATCACTTTACCGTGCAGCAGAGCTATGGCGTCGTGAGCAGGTTTGCGGTCTGCATATTTTATATATCCCACATTCCGGCCTGGAACCAAGTAAACCTCCATCAGGGAACCAAAACGACTGCATGGAGAAAACACACACACCACACACACACACACACACCAGAAAAGCAGGTCTGTTCGTAAACCATTTGGGCAATGACACAAATGAATGAAGTAAATGAATCAAACTTATCTTAACTCTTAAAAAAAAAAAAATCTACTGCAATTTATGAAACGAGGAAGGATTGTGATACATACATACTGTAATTTCAAATATACTACTGATCAACAGTTTGGAATATTTATAATTTTTTTTATTGTTCCTGATAAAAGTGTCTTATGCTCACCAAGGCTGCATTTATTTGATAATACAGTAAAAGCAACAATACAGTAAAATGTGAAATTATTACAATCTAAAACTTATCTATGTTAATATCTATGAAATATATATTTTAAAATGTAACTTATTCCAGTGATGCAAAGCTGAATTTTTAGCAGCTTTACTCCAGTCTTTAGTGGCACAGAAATAATTCCAAATTATTGTCAATGTCGAAAACTTAATATTTTGGTGGAAGCTGTGATATTCTACCATTCAATAGATTTATTGTAAGTTAGAGTTTAAATGTAAGATAGAGTTTTTATCATCAAACATGACAGTAAAAACATTTATAATGTTACAAAAGGTTTCCATTTCAAATAAATCTGTTCTTTTGAACTTCCTATTTTTCCAAGTAATCCTGTAAATGTATCACAATTTCCACACAAAAAAAATTGAAGCAGCACAACTGTTTTCAACATTGATAATGATAATAAATGATTCTTGAGCAGCAAATCAGCATATTATAATGATTTCTGAAGAATCATGTGACTCTGAAAACTTCGATCAGCTTTGATCACAGGAATTAATTAAATTTTTTAATGTATTATAATAGAAAACTGTTCTTTTAAATGGTTATAATACTTCACATACAGTTTTCACAATATGTTCACAACAGTTTTACTGTATTTTTTTTGAATAAATGCAGCCTTGGTGCACATAAGAGACATTAACAAGTTAACAACACTAAAAAAATTACATTGAAACATAACCAAAACAAAAAAAAATCATAATTCTGCCAAACCTTTGACCGTGTGTGTGGATGTATATATATAACTCAAGACTGTCATGTTGGAAAAACACTTAAGGAAAGTATATACATTCACTCAGACACAGTACACTACAACGGTCCAACACTATCAGAGGCAGTGTGTAAATCAATCATGAAGACAAACACACACCAGAACACGTCCTCCAGCACATCCACAGGCAGAGGTGAGGGGTTAAAGATGACAAACAGCCTCTCCTTCACCACGCTGTCAGACGCCACCAGTTTCTTCTGAGGAGGCAGAGCTACATCTGTCTGCACACGTGCTTTCTGAGGTACAGGGGGAGCTGTATAGCCCTACAGGAACACAGGACACAACAAACCCTTGTCAATAATCAGTTTGATGACTTCTGATCACCAACATTCTCCAACAACATCAAGCCAATGTAAATGGAGGACGAGCACATAGTATATCAATAACACTGCGCTCTTTAACAACAAAGATGCACGACAAACAGAAATCAACCCAAAAGGTAGCGCTGTTGTTTTAATGTGTCGCTACATTATCATGTTGCGGGAAACTGAGTCATCACTGTCCCAGAATTTAGTGGATCAAGGCCCTTGCTAGTGTCCATAATATACTGATCCTGACATAGTGAAGGAGGTGAAATGAGACACAGCTCATAATTTGATTCTTGCTATTGCTAGTCATTTGCAGGTGGTATTAGGTTGAGGGACATTCTTACTCTAGAACATATTTTACTGGACAAAAAGACCCACAAAAATAACCATATTAATAGCTAAAATATGTAAAAAATGTGTACCATGGAAGAAAAAAAGGACAGATGAGGGCAAGTAAATTATGTTAATTTTTGGGTGAACTATCACTTTGTATAATGAAAAGGATTTTTTCTATCAGTAAGCAGCGAACTGTACACCACCATTCGAAAGTTTGGGGTCGGTAAGATTTTTTAAATACTTTTGAAAGTAACCTCTTAAGCTCACTAAGACTGCATTTTTGATTAAAGAAATGCAAGCAAACTAAGTAATACTGTGAAATATTATTACAATTTAAAGTTACTGTTTTCTATATTGTAAAATTTAATTATGCCTGTGATCAAATTCTCCATTACTCCAGTCTTCAGTGTCATATGATCCTCCAGAAATCATGCTATGCTGATTTGCTGCTCAAGAAACATTTCTCATTATTATCAGTGTTGAAAACAACAGTTTTTGTGAAAATTGTGATTTGATTTAATATATCTTAAAATGTAATTAATTCCTGTGATGGCGAAAGATAGTTTTTGTAACTTTATTTATGCCTTTACTGTAACTTTTGATCAATTTGCATCCTTGCTGAATAAAAGAATTTCTTCCTTTAAAAAAAAAAAGTACTGACCAAAACTTTTGACATATATGAGTTTTCACTGATGATCATTTAACTACAACAGCATGTAGAAAAATGCGATAACTATGGCTTATAAAGGAATAGTTCACTCAACAATGAAAATTCTTCTTTGTTCCAAAACTGTACGATTTTCTGTCTTCCATGGAGCACGAAAGTAGAACAAATCTGAACAAATCACTAATTTAGAGACCTGGCAGAAATGACTAAGAAACCTTGAGAAATTTCTCGTTGTTGAACACATTACCCACCGCGCTAGTCTTCATTAGCTGTGCCCCAGAAGGGCTGTTCCACACCATAGACATCATCTGAGCGGCCACAAGCTGCATCGCCATCTTCCCCACAGGACTGAGCACAGACAACACAACACACAAAATCTGCACTTGGATACATACAGCTATTTAACATTGTTCAGCTATAACGGTTTCTAACAATATAATAGTTCAATCAATATAAAAGCATGTTTAAAATACCCCAGAAGGCACTAGTTCTTCTAGATTTTTTAAGTTTTTTGGCTATATTGCCCACAACCCCTTATGTAACAGAAGAGGCAGGTTAAGTAATGATGGATTCATCAAGATAATTATAACAAGTGAATGCTAACTGAAGATCCGTGGCATCAAAATGCTTTTTTAATGAAGCAGCATGCACTTTCCCATCACCAGAAGCACAAACATAATTTTGAGACCGAATGAGTTGAGTGTAAAGGTGACTCTACCTCGTCCTGTCCTCCCCATCGTCTATGTAAGATACCGAGAGACGGTTACCAGGCGGATACTCAAACCCATTCAGCTTCTCTTTAGCATAAACCGCAGAGCCCAGGTTATTATACCGCGCCACCACCTGACCTGTAGAGCACACACATACTGTCAAATGAAGGAGAACACTGAGCTAACATTTGAAAGTTTACTCATTTTCTCCTTTTGATCATGCCGTTAAAACGACTCCCTTTCATCGGTCATTCTGAAGTCATATGCTAGCTTTGTTTGAGGAACAAACTTAACTTCAATATAGATTTAATACATATAATTATGTTCAAAAGTTTGGGGTCAGTAAGATTTTTTTAATGCTTTTGAACGAATTCTCTTATGCTCACCAAGGCTGCATTTATTTGATCAAAAATACAGTAAAAAACAGTAGTATTGCGAAATATTATTACAATTGAAAATAACTGACTTCTATTTTAATATATTTTAAAATAGAATTTATTACCGTGATGCAAAGCTGAATTTTCAGCATCGTTACTCCAGTCTTCAGTGTCACATGATCCTTCAGAAATCATTCTAATATGCTTATACATTTTTTCAGGAGTATTTTTACAACCCACTACTTTGCGAGTAAATCACTCACATGTGTGATCAAATTTTACACCAGGCGACTAAATGTGTCATTAGCCACTGACTAATAAGTGGTTAGATTTCAGCTGCCAGGAATCGAGTTAGAAGCTAAGGGGAAACCATGTGTATTTTGGCTGCGTGTTGTGTCCTCTGACCGCATTTGAGCGTTCACGCTGGAAAACTCTGAATGAGCGTTTGACAGCAAAGAATGCACATTAATCAGGGAGTGGATCGAGTCGCTCTATAGAGGGTATGCAGTGACGTGACTGTCTCGCTGAAAACAAAGCATCCTGCTGCAGCTAGTAGAGGAAAGTGTGAAAAATGGAGTAAAACAAGAAGTGAAATATCTTCTTAAGCCTCATGTTGTGTTCCAGTCATTTTGACATGAAGACAATATCCTTTTTCTCGAAATCGCACTGGACTAAAAACTACCGACTTTGCTCACACAGGGTATATATAAAAAAATAAATAAATAAAAGGTTGTTTTTTTGTACTATTTCAATGTTCTATGAGCAAAAATGCCCAGGCTTTTGAACATTGATTGTTAATCTTTCATTATGCTTTATTATTATCACCAAATCTTGGATTCAATCTTATTGTCAACTTGTTTTCTTTCAATTAGCACAGGCTTTTGTATATATATTTTTAACTCTTTAACTGTAGACCTCATTGGTCAAGTTTATGCACCAAAATACTGCCAAAATAATCCACAAATAATGCTTTTTTCACTCAAAAACTGATCTACATAAGCTCAGATCTACGAGGGCTACGACCAATCAGTTCCAAAAAGAAACACAAAACCAAAAAAGATTCAATCCAACTGAATCCAAGATTTGGTGATACCGTATTGTCCTGAATATAAGACGATGTTTTTTTCTTGGAAATACATCTGAAAAAACGCGGTCGTAAAAACTACCGACTTTGCTCACACAGGGTATATATAAAAAAATAAAAGGTTGTTTTTTTGTACTATTTCAGGTGTTCCTGCTCAAAAATGACCAGCCTACAAAAATTGCTTGTAAATCTTTCATTATGCTATATTACCACCAAATATTGGTTTCAATGTTCTATGAGCAAAAATGCCCAGGCTTTTGAACATTGATTGTTAATCTTTCATTATGCTTTATTATTATCACCAAATCTTGGATTCAATCTTATTGTCAACTTGTTTTCTTTCAATTAGCACAGGCTTTTGTATATATATTTTTAACTCTTTAACTGTAGACCTCATTGGTCAAGTTTATGCACCAAAATACTGCCAAAATAATCCACAAAATGTGTTTTACTGAGAAAAAACAAGATTTGGTTTTTAAAAAGCCTTTTTCCAAAAGGTACATCTGGAAAAAGGGGGGTCGTCTTATAATCAGGGTCGTCTTATATTCGGGCCAATACGGTAATATAGCACTTTATTTGCAAGCCATTTTTTATATATATAAACCTATACATTGCATGTAGATGAAAAAAGTGCTGACGAGTAAAATAAAGAGATTTACTAGCTAACGTGAATTCTTTTGCCAATGGGTCAGTATAGAGGGTTGCTTAGAAAGTGCAAAAAAGCATTTATTTGTAGCAGAAATATTTTGAAAGACTGCAAAAACGTCTTTACCGTTTATCAATATAATGCATCCCCAACGAGTAAGAATATTAATTCATTTTAAACAAAACTGAGCCCAAATTTTTCAACGGTAGTATACAATTCACATGTCGTATATAATATTTTTATGGTGAATTTTATGGAATTTGGGGAAAACGACCCTTTGAAACGGTTTAGTAAAGTTGTGCATAGAGCGATAACACTGTAGAGGAGTGTGTGGTATATAACCTTTGCTGAAGCCGTATTGATCTCTCTGCATCTCACAGAAGTCCATCCCCGGGATCAGGTCAAACAGACCGCAGATCTGCTCCTGCGTGACCGCGACCCGGGACGACACCAGCAGGCACCGCGTGATGACGTCAGAGCTCCACGTGTCCCCCGAGGCGTAGCTGCTGGACTCGTGTGCTGCAGGAAACCACACCATGATCAAGCTGAACCCTCAGGCATGCAAAAACTGCACACAAAAGCATGGGTGGAAACCAAACTTGAAGTGGCTTGACACTTACCAAAGCTGTACGAGTTAGAGCCTGGATTGTTAATCTTTCATTATGCTTTATTATTATCACCAAATCTTGGATTCAATCTTATTGTCAACTTGTTTTCTTTCAATTAGCACAGGCTTTTGTATATATATTTTTAACTCTTTAACTGTAGGCCTCATTGGTCAAGTTTATGCACCAAAATACTGCCAAAATAATCCACAAATAATGCTTTTTTCACTCAAAAACTGATCTACATAAGCTCAGATCTACGAGGGCTACGACCAATCAGTTCCAAAAAGAAACACAAAACCAAAAAAGATTCAATCCAACTGAATCCAAGATTTGGTGATACCGTATTGTCCTGAATATAAGACGATGTTTTTTTCTTGGAAATACATCTGAAAAAACGCGGTCGTCTTATATTCAGGGTCTAGACTTTGACATGTCAATAATAGCATCTCACAGAAGTCCATCCCCGGGATCAGGTCAAACAGACCGCAGATCTGCTCCTGCGTGACCGCGACCCGGGACGACACCAGCAGGCACCGCGTGATGACGTCAGAGCTCCACGTGTCCCCCGAGGCGTAGCTGCTGGACTCGTGTGCTGCAGGAAACCACACCATGATCAAGCTGAACCCTCAGGCATGCAAAAACTGCACACAAAAGCATGGGTGGAAACCAAACTTGAAGTGGCTTGACACTTACCAAAGCTGTACGAGTTAGAGCCTGGATCATTACCAGAGTGCTCCGATCTGGGGTTGCTGACGTAGTCATTGTCTGCTGATGCATTTTTGGTTCTGGGCTCAGCTAAAATAGCTCTAAAAGCTGCAGAGACAGACAACTTCATACTTAATACTTATAAATACACATGAAAACAACAACAAAGTAAGGACAATGACACACTTACTCTTGTCACAGTTTTCTATGGCTTTGGCGGCTTGTGAAGGTTTGTGGAATCTCACGTAACCCAGACCTTTGCTTTCACCTGTGGTCTTATTCCTTATAATAATAGCATACTCTATATCTCCATATGCCTGTGGAAAAGACAGCAAAGAGAGACAGAACCCGTCAAAAAAAAATGTAACAGTCATAGTTCACCTAAAAATCAAATGAAAGACTATATAACAAATTAAGTTTTGCTTAACCTGTTTTTAGGACCATGCATTATTTCATGGGAAATTAATCGAACAGTCTCTCAATTGATTCTATTATTGATAATAAATGCAAAAACTGGTGCTAAAAACACATAGCTTTGCATTTTGCAAAATACAACTTCACACATCATTTACTTTTGGGGTGAAGTGCAATGTGTTTTCAGGCTGTCCCTCAGAAATATCTACAAGTTAAAAAATAAACAAATGAAATCTTCCTCAGTGAAGGATTTTGGGAAAGCTCTGAGAGCTCCACTACAGCAACATTCAAATGTTCTCTTCTAAGTGAGCTATTTTGTTTATATTACATTACATTATTTGACTGTTATTATTGCATATTTATACTAATGCATTTTCTCGATTTATTTCCTTTTAATTTTGGGGTAAAGTTTGTCGAGTTTTTATACATTCGCCTTTTAAAGGGGTCATATGATGCTTTTTTAAAGATAATTATTTTGTGTATTTGGTGTAACAGAATATGTTGACATGCTTTAATGTTCAAAAAACACATTATTTTTCAAATACTGTACATTATTGCAGGTCCTCTATGCCCCGCCTCTCTCAAACGCTTCGTTTTCTACAAAGCCCCCTCCTTTCTCTTTGGTTTTGAGACTTTAGTCTTTGCAACTTCAGGGATCTTATCTATGCACAATCAGCTTGTAACACTCCAAAGAGAAAGGAAAACTTGAAATCGCATCATATGACCCCTTTAAGATATGCTCCATCAGAAAATGCCTCAAGTGTAATACATACAAACTGTATTTACATATAGGAGCCATTTTAATAGAAGTACATTATATTATTGTTATTATTGAGGGGAAAAAACATCACATATTGGTCCGAGAAATACATTTCGTCCCCTTTATACAAAACGTATTTTCTTTTAATTTTAGGGAAACATTTTACGTTTCCATATCCGCATGCTTTTCCATCAGAAAATACCTTAAATGTGTCTTTTAAATCTTCCTCGGTGAAGGCTTTTGGGATCATGACAAAGATTCTGGTGAGCTCCTCGTCCTCCACATCTCTGTGACTGCCAGAAGACCTGGACTGAGCGATGAAGACCTAGACAAGCAAGAAACGCTGTAGTTACCTCCAGCACTGAGAACCAAGTCAGGCGTTGCGTTCAAATAAACACCTTTATCGGCTTGGTTCCTTCGGCCAGGCATCTGCCGTGCATCTCCTCCATCGCAGTGCAGGCTTGCGACGATTTGGCGAATTTCACAAACGACACTCCTTTCGACTCTTTCGTCTGCTTGTCTTTCACCACCCAAATGTCCTGAATCTCCCCGAAAGCGGTGAAATGCTCCCTGATAATCTCCTCTGTGATGGATTTACTGGTAACGAGGAACAGCCGACTGTTTGGTGGCTCGTCAAGATAAGAAGAGGCTCGGTTAGATTCGTCCATACTCACAGTAATAGGGCAAATTTATATTATTAATTATTAGGCGTTTAGCCAGCTAGCGCCTGTAGGGGAACTGACGTCTTGACAAATTGACGCATGTGGTCAAAATATCATCCTGATAGCTCTACAACAACAACTCACGCGAACAACACAGCAGCAACCGAATACACGCGCAGAAACGCGTGTCATAATAAAAGTCACAGCAGACGACGGTGGGTCTTTTAAAGGGACAGTTCACCCAAAAAATGAAAATTCTGTCATCACAGTTGGTGGTTGCCATTGACTTCCATAGTATTTTTTTTCCTACTATGGAAGTCAATGGCAACCACCAACTGTTTGATTACCAGCAATCTTCAAAATATCTTATTTTGTGTTCAACATAAGAAAGCAACTCATACGGGTTTGGAACGACATGAGGGTGAGTAAATGATGACAGAATTTTCATTTTTGGGGTGAACTATCCCTTTAAGTCACATGCCAGGGTTTGTTTTTTATTAAACATTAACAGGTTTCTTTCTGTTCATTACAACCGTCTTGGAGACGTTCCATGCATTCGAATCAAGTATATCCTTTATACATTTTATTGTAAATTTGTAAATAAATATCATTCCAGGATATCAGGACAGCTTAAAGTACAATGACAAGCATTAACCAAACTCGTACAGCACTTAAATAAATAAATAAAATTCAATATTTGACAGAAATTCTAAAAGTTTTTCTGGTGAGACCTTTTCCCATTGAAGAACTTTCAATATACTTTTGTATATATTGAATTATATATATATATATTATATATATTGAGTATACCTTTGCCTAGAGATGTTAAAAACACACTTTTTAAACTCGTATGTTTACAGCAAGTGGCCAATGGCCAATACAAACAAACAATAAATAAATAAATAAACTCACTTCATTTATTTAAATGATATAAACCTGTTTTTTTTTTTTAATCTGAAAAATCAAACACATGTAGAAAATAATGAAGACTTTACTTTAAATTATGTCGTAACATTGTAAAACAAATTTACTAAGCATATTAATAATGGCATAATAAACTCACAGAATTAAAGCTGAATGAATCTAATTTTATCTTGATTTAAGCACTTTTATTAATTAATCATATTAATAAAAAATCTGAGAACTTAAAATTGGTAATATTCATGAAAAATTGAATAATATATATATATATATATATATATATTATATATTGAGTATACCTTTGCCTAGAGATGTTAAAAACACACTTTTTAAACTCGTATGTTTACAGCAAGTGGCCAATGGCCAATACAAACAAACAATAAATAAATAAATAAACTCACTTCATTTACATTAATGATATAAACCTGTTTTTTTTTTTTAATCTGAAAAATCAAACACATGTAGAAAATAATGAAGACTTTACTTTAAATTATGTCGTAACATTGTAAAACAAATTTACTAAGCATATTAATAATGGCATAATAAACTCACAGAATTAAAGCTGAATGAATCTAATTTTATCTTGATTTAAGCACTTTTATTAATTAATCATATTAATAAAAAATCTGAGAACTTAAAATTGGTAATATTCATGAAAACACAAACTGACAACTGCACACTGTAATTGATAAGAACAACCTGTAAAGGACAGCATGGTGGTTATTACAAATTTCACTTCCTGTATTTATTTTATTTTTTTTACAGAGTTTACAGAAGTCAGAAAAATTAGTTAGGGGTGTGTCACATTTGATGGGACTCAAAAGAAGCCAGCAGCAGGTTTTTGGCTGAAGGGAGTGTTGCTGGGAGAGAGGCCAGCAGAGGGAGCTCATCCTGTGCTCTGTGTGGATCTGAACCGAACACCCCAGCGCTGAGAGCCGGGCAAATGCAGCATCCATAGGCGCCGCGGGGTGAACCAGGGTAATGCTGAGTGAGTACACACTATAAAGCCCGGCTCACACTACAGGAGCTTTAAAATCCTAACCGATTATGAAATCTGGTTGCAGCACACACATAAGGAGAATCTTTGCAGATTATCTTCCCTCAAATCTTAAACATGCACACACTACAAGATTTGAAAATCGTGGCGCATCACACACTACTAATGATCATGCCAGAGGGAGCGCCTCGCGTGATCTTCTGCAGCAGATCGTCAGCAATGTTAGCCTAGCGTCTAGCAGCTTTCTGCACTCACCCGGTACCAGTTTTCGGGGAAAGTTACTATTAAAAGTAATGCATTACAATAATGAGTTACCCCCTAAAAAAGTTACTAATTGCACTACTTAGTTACTTTTTATGGAAAGTAATGCATTACATTACTTTTGTGTTACTTTTTCTCATCTGGGCTGGGCTTTCTTGTGTGTTTTTAATATAAAAAAAGTTAAATTTTTGCCGTATGTAAAAACCCTTTCACACCAAAAGTGAAATGAATAAGCCTCAGGCTAGGAAATGTAAATTCAATTATTAACATATTTAAAGGGATCATATGATGTTGCTAAAAAGAACATTATTTTGTGTATTTGGTGTAATGAAATGTGTTTATGCGGTTTAAGGTTCAAAAAACACATTATTTTCCACATACTGTACATTATTGTTTCTCCTCTATGCCCCGCCTTTCTGAAACGCGTCGATTTTTACAAAGCTCATCAATGTGCATTTTTTCCTCCGCAAAATGCAATGCACAAAATGCACTGCACACATCTGAATGGTTGAAGTGTTCTGGAACAGTGTTGTAAATACAACTTAACCACTCATCATATTCTGAGTTTGCATTCAAGTTTTTATTAATTTTGAGGAATACTAAATTTTTGTGCAAGTGAGATGAGTAAATGCATGTTCATATATAGTCTAGAACTACAGTAACCTTTGTATTTAGGCTACACATTGCACTTACTGCAGATTTTTCTGTTAGACAATAAATGGGAAAACAAAGTATAACTGGCGCTACTTATTTGAAAAAGTAACTGTAAGTAACTGATATTTTACTGTAAATTGAAAAGTAATGCATTACTTTACAAGTTACTTGAAAAAAGTAATCTGATTACGTATATGCAGATTGTAGGAACTACTTTATCACTTGATACCGCTTTAAATACAATATTGTGTGTGTGCATGTGAGCGTGAAAAAAATTTGAGTGAAAAAAATACATTTAAAACTTTTACTATTAATTATTAATCATTTTAAAACATTTACAAATGTTGAGAACATTACTGTTTTATTCTAATTTCAAAGCTGAAAAACAGATCGATTCCAATTATTTCATTATGACTAGTTTTTAACAGTAACAAACAGAGTACAAAAACTCACAGAATGAAACACATTTGCATGGACTTACATGGACATGGAAAGTGAGCAGACGATTTCGGTGTAGAAAGGCTGCTGTTTAGCCACAAGAATGCACGAATGCAAAGCAAAAATGCAAAAGACTTTGAATTTTTAGCATATTTATGAACAGTTTAATACATATTTTGATATAATTTTACATGCAAGATTTTAATTTTTTCTGTTCATCTGTCAGACTCTGTTCCGTGTGTTGTGTGTGTTTTGCTCCTCATGTGTTTCCATGTCCTTATTTGGTCTTTCCTGTTCCTGTCCTCGTTGTGTGAATTTGTTTCCAGCTGTGTTTCATTAAAGGGGTCATATGATGCTGCTAAAAAGAACATTATTTTGTGTATTTGGTGTAATGAAATGTGTTTATGCGGTTTAAAGTAAAAAAAAACACATTATTTTCCACATACTGTACATTATTGTTTCTCCTCTATGCCCCGCCTTCTGAAACGCGTCGATTTTTACAAAACTAATCGGTCTGAAAAGCGAGGTGTGCTCTGATTAGCCAGCTATCCAGTGCGTTGTGATTGACCGAATACCTCAAGAAGTTCAGGTAATTGCATTTAATGTGTATTTATCTATCTATAATATATATATATATATATATACAGTATATATTTTTATATTTTTATTTACCATGCTGTCATGCTGTCATACTTAACATATTTGATAGGAAATGAACAGCGAGACAATAATGTTCTGAAAGTGCTATAATTGTTTGTGTGATCACTTTGCTTATAGAAGGTTGTGACAGACACAAATCATCACTGCTGCATAGTTATTTTTCCAGTTGCCAAATATGTTAATGTAGTTAATGTAGTGATTACTTACATTTCTGGCGCTATGGCATTTCTGCGCTGTGTCAGAGATGTTAGCATGTCTCTAAAAGATCGGTCACAAACATGATCCCTGCACGATCTAATGTGTAGCGTCTTATTAACTCACTGTCATGCATTGTGTGCAACACATTTCTTCTCCCTCTCCAAGTTTCATCCATTTTCTCCACTGCTAAAGAAACACTTAAAGGAACAGTTCACCCAAAAATGAAAATTCTGTCATCATTTACTCACCCTCATGTCGTTCCAAACCTGTACTAGTATTTTTTTTTCCTACTATGGAAGTCAATGGCAACCACCAACTGTTTGATTACCAGCAATCTAAGCCTCTTATAAGTCCTTGTCTGTACTCCTAACAATTTTGGACCTAAGGCCTCTTTTAAGGGTTCAGATGCTTTCTGAATTACTTTTTTCTTTACTAGGATCTTTTCTTTAATTTTAAGAGGAAACACCCACATTTCTAAGAATTTTCTTAGAATTTTGTTACTAGGAGCAACTCTTTGCACTAAGATTTTTCTTGAATACGGACCCAGATGTGTTTTATTTTCATGGCAGAATAACTGTAATCGTGGTGCAAGGTCAGCTAAAGTTCGTTTATTGAGAGTTATGTGACTTGGATTTCTGCACTGCAGTATTGTATGTTTGTTCAGTGACTGGCCCAAAACAAATATTGAATGCACACAGTAAAAGCCTCTCTTTTAAGGTGATACATCAATGAATCATTATGATACCTACCTTTCCAATACTTATTTGGAAATAATAATATTTGACAAATATATCCCTATATCAAGAACAAAACAGTAAGATATATTTTCAGCGTAATTACTCCAGTCTTCGGTGTCACATGATCCTTCGGAAATCATTCTAATATGCTGATTTGCTGCTCAAGAAACATTTCTTATCACAGCTGAATATGGCTGTGCTGCTTAAAGGCAGGGTATGTGATTTTTCAAAAACACTTTAGAAAACTGATTCGGGCCGAATAACAAAACAAACTTGTAGCCAATCAGCAATAAGGGGCGTGTCTACTCGTGATGT